CAGAGTAGTCTCTTGCCAAAAGCCTGCAGAGTTAGAACTTTTCTCATTATATGCCAATGTGATTGAAGTTTGTGTTCTCTGGCTAATGTCAGGGAGCTTTCCGTACTGTAGGCAGTGAACTCATTTGGCTTGATGTTTCAGTATATTAAAGCAGGTGGTAAACCCCAGGGAAAAAAGTAAACCTACAGCCATCTGTTTATCGTGCTCTTTACCTAAAGATATTCAGAGCCCTCAGGCTTTTTCACCAATAACAAAAAAAGTTAATAAAGGAATTTGCAAAGACTCTTCAGCATTTTAGAATGCTTTTATTCTTGCATTAATTTAGAATTGGAAGAATGTACCAAATGAAAGCCAACTGCCAACTTATCCCAAACTGCTTATCCATCGTCTGGAATTTCTCATCTCCTCGTTTCTATCAGTCCTGCCTGTCCTTTGAGCCATCTGATTACTTATTATGATCAGCAATTTGGCTAATCAAAGCAGGAAAAGGGAAGCTCAAATCATTTTATTGTGTCCTGCTTACTGGCTTTATTTTGACCACAGCAAAAAGTTACTGCGTGGAGTGAGGAGGGGTGGGGTTGAGACTGTAGACTAACACTGAAATTATCTGTGACTCAGAACATCTTCCACGCTGTATGAATAACTGATGCCTTGTTAAACATGGCTAAGATTTCTAGATGAAAATCAAAACACTGCTGGGTCTGTTTTCCTGTAAATTTGATATGAGTTTCCCTCTTGCCTTTATACTTATGAGATTACCTATAGGCAACACTGGTAAAAATTAATAAATAATTTGTACCTTTCTTGGAAAATGATTTATCTAATCATAGATATTTATCTATTAGTCTATTATATTTATTTATCATTTATCTACCTACCTACCTACCTACCTATCTAGTCTGTCTCCCATCCATCCACTCATTCATCCTGTATGAGGCTGTATTTCACTGTAGTTAAAAGCTTGGGGTTTAGAGTCAGCACATGGAAATTCGGCTCCTACTCCTATCACTTACTAACTGGGTGACCTTAAACAAGTTGCTCAACCTCTCTGAGATAAGTTTTCTTCTTCTGCTTAATGGGCATGATAAGAATTATCTACCACTTTGGATAGCTTTAGGGATTAAATAAAATAATTCATGTAAATGCTGAGCACAGAATCTAACACACAGTAAGTGTTCAGCAAATAGCAGTTATTGTTTTTGATAACAGAGCTTTCCAAATCCCAGACTTTCAAGCACAGCAGGAAAAAAGATATGACTTGAATGCTTTCAGTTCTGAAACTTCATAGTTCGTCTATAATGGCCATAGGAAGATAGCACCTCAATCACAGTCATTGAAATACTGGAAATTACCTATCTATTACTTTACGAAATAATCATTTGTGAAGGTCAAACATGAGCAGTCACTGGTAGGCACTAAGGGGAGAAGAGAAAGTTTAGCACACATGGTAACATATAACATAGATATGTACGAAGTGTTAAGATAGATGGCATAGTGACTCACTAGCTGTGGTGTTGGGCAAGACTTTCAGTGGATGTGCTTTCTGAATTGGGTTTTGAAGGATGAATAGGAACTCCCCAAATAGAAAAGAAGAGAGGCATGCTTGGCCTTTGCTCTCAGCATTCCTGGCAAGTGTCCTGCACTGACTCTCACAACCAGCAGAGTCCTCGGAGAGAATAACTGCTCTGATGCAAACTTTAAATTAAGCATGTGTGCTTGGCAGGCCCCAATGTTCACCATGCTAGAGATTAGATATCTACGTGTTCTCTAAATCTAAACTAAGGAACCACAACTAGAGGCAGCCAGTATTCAGAGAATTTGGTCTTAAATCAGACAGATTTCTATAACGTGATGATATTGTATAAGAAAGCAGGTCTATCAATGAAGAGTTTTTTAATTTAATTATAAAGATAGAAAAACAGAGGGACCTCACCGAAAGGAAAGGAAGGGAGATAAAATAGTAAATATATACCAGTAGAACGTACACAAAAAAGTCAGAAAGGAAAAGGTGGAACTACCTCAAATCCAGAGAAAGAAATTGAGTTCTTCAGTGCAATCATTAATGCTATCCCTACAGTGCACAGAGCATCTGCTGGGACTATGCTGGAGAAACATTTGGAACACAGCAGCAATTGGATGAAGCCAAAAAGCCACCTGTCCTACCTTTGTGCTGGGAGGGTTTTCCTGGCTCAAGACAAGGAAAAGTGCCTGTGACTAAATGGGGAAGAATAAAGTGACTCTAAAACTCAGGCCTCCTGGCATACTGTGACTGAAGGCAGGTCAGCCAGGCTGCTCGGGCACTGATGCTAAAACATCCCAGGGAGAGAACAGAAACACAGGGCCAGCCAACTCAGCTTTCCACATCCAACTCTTTACCTGACTAGCAGGAACAGATCGGTTCTATTCTCCTTAAAGTACGTAGGGTCTTCTTCTAGGGAAAATGAATGGGGAGAGAGGGGGGAGAGAGGGGAGGGGGAGAGAGAGAGAGAGAGAGAGAGAGAGAGAGAGAGAGAGAGAGAGAGAGGGAGGGAGGAAACAACAAAATACTTCCCTAGGTTTCATTTAGCTAAGGTGGCAGCTGTGCATACTTGACCAGGAGATTCCCAGTTTATGCTGCTATCAAAATTATTCATAACAACCCCTTCCTTCTCAAAATGTCCTGGTTTGGATGAGTAATGGTACCATCACCATCAACTTAGTCTATGTCACAAATTACTGTAACAAGAAGATTAAAATATATACCTTTCAGCAGAAAATGTATTTCGGGATAATCAAAGAGTGCCATTTGAGAAGAAAACCTTCCACTTCATGGAAGAATGCCAATGCAGACCAACTGATAAAAGTAGAAAGTCGTTTTTTCACAAATCCTAATGGAAGTACTAAATTAGACAAGAATTATCCACTAGAATCCCAACTACCAGGTGAAGAGTTGATGCGGGACTGAATGTCCCTCAGTGACATCGCTCTGTGTCTAGTGGCAGGAGGAAAAATGTAAGTTTATAATGGACGGGGGGTTGGGGGCCTGATACCGTGATGAGCCCTGACCTCACTAGTGATGGGCACCCTGGTGCACAACATCGGTTTTGCATTCTACCTGGAGGGTCTCTCTCAGGAGCAGGAGGCTAATGGTGTGCTCAGGGGGAGCCTGAACCCTGGTAAGCCTTTATTATTAGATATTGGTGCTCTGGTGGCCCAAATAGCAAGACCTCTGTATAGGGAGAACAGATTAGGGGAAGAGGAGGAGACAAGATTGATGATAACAGTAAAAAGATAAGCATGAAAATTATGAGAGGTGGAGGATTTATTCATAGAAACATACCTTTATAGTGGAGGATTTATTCACCAGTAAAGGCTAGGAGAGACATCATCGCAGCAAAGTCAGGAGTAAGGAGGCATTAAAGGGGAATCAAGGATGAGAACAGAGGGGTAAATACGCAGACAGGAGAAGACAGAGTGAGCAGGAACAGGGAATGAGGGATAATACACAACAACAATGCGGGCAGATGAAATTTGAAATGGCAAAGGAAACAGAAGGACAGAGGGGGCAGGAAGTAAAAGACAGCTGGTCAAAGGTTGAGGGGGCAGAATTGGAACACTCAAGGGCTGAATGCATCTTTGTCATCTCTGTCCTCACGGAAACTTAAATGTTAGGCACTCAGGAGAAAGGAAAGGAGGGAGGGAGGGAGGGAGGGAGACAGGGTAGACGGGGCAAGGCAGGCAATCAGATGGCAGAAGAGAAAGACTAGGAATAGGAAGAGTGATGTGAAGAAAAGAGAAAGTAAGGAATGAGTAAAGCACACATTTCAGAAGCACACAATGGGGAGTAATATTAGATAATTAGATAATGAGCATTCTATATCACATTCCAGAATTAAGTAATTCAAATTTACTTTAAGAATACCAGAACTGTTTTGATCAGCAACCATTTCTGTGGCTGACCTGAACCATGACTTATCTTATACAAAGGCCTGGAACTGGGGTTAAAGCACGACCAACTTCATAGAAAAAAAACAAAGCTGAATAGCTCTTGGATTTTCTATGCACAACTGAGTGAAACCAAGCAGCCTAGGGGGCTCCTTACCTTCCCCATGGTCCTGCTCTCACCCAGAGGGTCATTTCAGCATACGAACTGACCTGAGGCAGCTGCATATTTTCCACCCATTTTCCTGTCTGCCCAGAACCAGCACAACAGGCAACTGCTGGTTAACATAATTAATGTAGACAGAAATCTGGCTAAATACTACAAAAAAATCCATTTTTCAGGCGCCTCATTATCTAGATTGCTGACTGCATTGATTGCATTAATCCAATGATGACCAAATCTTTACTTTCTTTCTGTTAGGCAAAATTTAATCTAGAAAACTCATAAATCTCTCTAGGATGCAAACCTCTCCCAGGACACATGATTTTGATTGACAGCTCACAAAATAACTTTGGCATGCATGCAAAATTAGATTCACACACAATTTTCATGAAAAGATAAACCTATCCATCAACATAATTTTGGCTCCAAGAAAGCAGTCAAGGTTTTGTGTCTGGAAACTGGAAACGAGGAAGTCTGATGTTTTAGAAGCCATAATCAAACATATCTGTTTGCAGTTCTTACTGTGTGTAGGTGTTTTCTAGCACATACATAGGATTATATATTTGTATTAGGAATTAATATTATAAGATTTCAAGTGACAATGGGGTATGTGTAGAATGTGTTTGAGCATTGATGGTTTGATATTTGGGGGAAGAAATGAGTTGGTGATATCAGATTCCTAGAGTTTTCAGTTGGTTTTTCACACAGAAAACAGTAAAAGAAGCACACTCCCTAACTCGTGATGCCAGTCCCTTATGAGGCTGGCCCAAGTTTAATATCTCTACTTCCTAACTTTGAAGTTTGAATTAGATACTTCATACAAGTCACAGAACACAGACATAAGTTATCATTGCAGAGCACCTGCACATGAAAAGTAGAAAGAAAGATCCAAAGGGCCTCTTGAATGAATACTCACTATTTGGTAGAGTCAGATAATTGATATTCTCGTCGTCTATCATAGCATTCCTGGATTCCAGGATCATTCCATAAACTCTTTATTGCATCTACGTATGGATTCTCAAAAGCAGACACCTTCTCCACATCAACTTCTCGAACTAATTGTGCATGAGCCTGTTAAAAAAAAATAGCAGTTTTAATCTCCTTTTCCATCACTGATCATTGCCTTTGGCCCACACATTACGCTGAACACACAATGAAAGATGTCATGCTATGCACACGACTGGTTTTAGGTGATAATAGTAATCCTAAAGAAATTAATATTATTAAAGAGAAAAGAAGACAGAAGTAATTATCTCCTCTACAGTTCATTATAATCAAACACATGACACACCCAAACCACAGGCGTTCCGTCTTAGCGGAAACTCCATCAGGACTCGTGTCCACAGTTCACGGCGTGTGAAACCACTGCAGCAACAGTGAACAGTGATGACTTACTTTGAATGACAGAGGCCATTCCCCCCCCATTCCTACACACCCCAACTTCTAAAATATTTATATCTGCCTTATCTACATTATAAGATTGAAGACCCCAGTCAATATTTCAACAAAGAAAAGGACTTTGTTACTTCATTATACAACATATAGCAGGAAAGAAGTAAGGCGATTGAAAAATGTTTTTCAGTAAGACTGAAATAAAAGGTTATATGGTCAACTTCCAAATGAACCAGAATGTACCACTGCTTAACAATCCCAACTGAAATAGATTTCACAGATGTACTATATATGTGAATTACACATATACATAAATATGCAAATAAATATAATAAATAATTACCTTGGAAATTGGAAACAGATAATTGATAATTGATTCAGTCTTGATTTTGTACAAAAAAACACAAACTTCTGAACTAGGTTAGTGAATGGCTATCATAGTCACATAATGACCTAGTTGTTCATTTTGTAGAGTTATAGAATTATAACAAATCTAATCCATGTCAGGCCTTGTCTAGTTCCCAACCTTTACCATCCTGCTCCACCCATAAGTGATAGGGGCCCCAGGTCATTAGTCTAATCTTGACTTTAGTAAGGGTTTAAAAAGTCTAACATGCTAAGACTGAAGGAACCATCTTTCTTGCTAGCTCTGTTCTGACCTGGACAGTCAGATCTAGTGATGGAGAGGTGCTAGCTCCACAATGAATCTCAATCTTGGAACACACGTGCCTAGAGTTGCTTTTTGTACCTAGTCCCTGCCCAGGAAATCTGCTGTATTATCCCACCAGCGGTCCTGCCAGCCTGGAGTCCCGTTCCTGGATCCCCTCCGGATGGGCCTACCTCGATCACAGTTCCCCACGAGATTCGCTCTTTGAAAACAATTATCACTGGCTCCCCAGTGAATCCCTAGCTGTGCTCCACTTGGCTCTGGAGCCCTTGTTTTTCTGTGTTGATACCAAAGGCTGTACTGGATGCACCTTCTCTGTCTTCAGCCTGCTCCATCGAAGCTCCTCCAAACATAAAACACTAGACGCGGGGGTCTCCCCCACCCCACCCAACAGGGATGCAGAATGTTAACTTTCAACCCTTGCCTTTCTGCCGTTGCTCACTGAATACGGTCAAGCTCTAATTCTTTGTTTCCCTACATGTGACAATGATTACCCTGGCTATAATCCTAGATTAGAGTACTCATCGCTGCGTCTGTATTCCAGGGTTCTCTGAAGGATTCGGTGGATCTTGGAGGGCTGCTGGGGGCAGAAACAGGGACATACAGGGTGGTTTCCTACAGGATGTACTCTAAAGACAGGGTTTTAAATTTGACTCTGCCTCTTCTTAGGACTCCAAGTAAATTGCGTAATCTTTCCAAATGTCATTTCCTGGTGGGAACACACTGCCCCACTAGCCTCACGTGGCTTTGTATTGTGTTATAATACTGTAGAGTCAGTGGTTCTCAAAAGGTGGTCCACACACCAGCAGCATCAACTGAGAATTTGATAGAAATGCAAATCTTCTGGTCCAGTGTCAAAGCTTTTGAATCAGAAACTCTAGGAAGGAGAGGCTGGGCCACAGACTGGCTGTGGGAAACCAAACAGAAGAAGCCCACGGAGGCAGCAGTCACTCCAAAGGGCTAGGGAGCCATGGAAGTAAGTAAAACAGGCAGGACAGATGCAATGGGGACTGCTGGGGGCTGTGGCATGCTGAGAAACACACTTGCTATTTAAAAAAGGAAGCTACTACTGAGCTCCAACCAAGTGCTGCCATTGGGAAGGTAGGGCCATTGTTGCCAGATTGGCCAGTTTTTCCAGGGAAGTCAAAAATCTAGATTTTCCTGGGAAATATCTCTAATTTTAAATATTGGCAATCTTTTAAAACATTAATAAAGCATATCTGTGTCCAAGTTTGATTGGGGGCCATTCATTTGCAGCATCTGTTCTAAAAGCGTCTTCTCCGTTTGCTCCCCTACTAAGCTTTACCAGTGACACTGTGTCCTGCGTAGAGCCCAGAAGACGGTGGCCGGACACTGGTCAAATCCACACATGCTAACAAGTAAGAGATTTCCAGAACTTTTCTGCAATAACCTTAGGCAAACTATTATAATATCCATAGGGATAAATGGTTGAGAACTTTCTCTGAATTGGCTAAAAGCTACCTAGTGACACAGGTTAGTGGAGGCAGTATTTAAAAATGAATTTGATATGTACTACACTAGGCCAGCCATGTCATTTGGAAGGAGTTCTGTTTCTGTATCTAGAGAAGTTAGCTTCTGCCAGAGAAAATAGTTTCCACATACCAGACACTTTTCACCATGATAATGAAATGTTTACTGGACCCCACTGCGACACGAGGTAATACAGCAAGCAACCAGGGAGCTAGGCAGAGCTCCCACGGGGGGACAGTCCATATGGTGGCAACCAAACAAAACACAGGATTCCGTGGTGCAGGAACAAGAGGGAGTTCTTACATTTCATCCTTCGTTTCAGCTGGCTGTAAGGGTATTTAAATAAAGGCAACACTCTCAACAGTGTATTGTAACTTTCCACTGAGAGCCTGCTCCTGTAAAATGAGACTACTCTCTATTGCCAGAAAACTCCAGCAGTTTCCTATCTGGCTATATCTGTGTGCTTTTTCTTACATCTGCAATGTCTCCCCTCTTGCTTTCTCTACCTTCCTTTGCTTTTGTTCTGGGGTTTCATCATGTATCATCTCTATGATTTTTCTTCTCTCCCCCAAAATATAGTCTTTGTGTCCTTTGAACCATGGAACTTCTGCATTTTCCTTTATGCTAATGGGTATGTCTTATTTCCCTCCTGTAGACTATACACTGAGGGAAGGGGCTGTAGCTTACTGACTCTAATTTATTTTGGGACCCAAGACAGAGTAAGCAAATAAACATTTGTCTAATTTTATTGCATTTAGAAATACATATAAATACTATGCCAAGTCCTACAAGTCAAAGTCAGTTTCTCCAGGAAATTTTCCATCCATTACCTATTCTCACAGCACTATATAATCCTTAACGGCACTTATCTCAGTAGCTGGTGTACAAGTATTTTTATGATATTTGTTAATATCTTCCTCCCTAATTGCAGTATAAGTTCCAAAACAGACTCAACATTGCAGTATCAAAGCCTAGCAGAATGCCTGATAAATATTTGTTGAATGGAGAATGCAAGGAAGGAAAAAAAAGAAATTGTATTAAACTGGAAATCAGGATATCTAACTTCTAGCCCTGACTTTACCTCTAACACTAGCCATCACCCTTAGGAGAAATTACTTTATCTCTTAATAACTTCACTTTTCTAGTCCATAAAATGGTTTAGTTGGAGTAAATTAGAAACTTCATCTATCCATAAACCATATAATTATGAACATATAATAAATATAGCTACAATGCATAGAGGACCAAGGAGTTATAAGTCTTATTTCACTGTCCCTCTAGGAACACACAATATCATTTATTAAAATAAGACTTCACTACTTCCAACAGTACCTAACAATACAGGATGAATCACAGTTCAGTCTGTACATGAGCAATGCCACATGTGGACTCGGCAAGTAGAACTTGGTGTGGACAAAGGAGGTCAAACAAGGCCTCAAAGAAAAGACAGGGTTTGTCTGACAGGTGGAGATGAAGACTCATGACGTTTCCAAGGAGGAGGAAGAGACGGATAAAGTTCACTGGACAAAATAAAAATGGCACTTCCTTTAAACTGTGAAAAAAAGTCTAATGAGGAGTTTTGTGTTAACTATTAATTCAAATTAACCTCCACAGTGAAAGCTATAACATGGACGATATCCCCTATGAACACTGAGGAATCAATGTTCAATCAAATCAATCCATTTCTTAGCACTCTGAGAAATCAACCTCCAGCGTTCATGGAAGTATACTGCCTTATTTTATTTTATTTTATTTTAATCATTGTTCAAGTACAGTTTTCTGTCCTTTACTCCCATTCCAACCCACCCACCCATCCCTCCCCACCTCCCTCCCATTTCCACCCCTCCTAGTTTTTGTCCATGTGTCTTTTATATTTGTTCCTGTAAACCCTTACACTGCCCTTAATAACACACAGATCAGCACTTTGCCTGCATCCAGATCAGAATTTCTAAGTCATTTTTTACTGACTCCTAAGCTTCATTGTTTAATTCCATCCTTGTTGTTTTGGAAAAGAGAATTCAAATACTATCAGCTGTAATCTGCATTTATGTAAGAGCTTTCAACTGAAGTTCTCTAAGTTGTTCAAAATTATGACAGCATCTTACAAAATATACACAGAATTTTAAAACTGCCTATACAGATGACTCCAATGGAAGTTCAATCCTCTCACTTTTTTTGGTAAAAAATATTCTGTATGTGGCAAGAAATTTTTTTAGTATGCTAGAGTAAGAAGTTAAATGAGACCCTTTTCTATTTGCCCAAATGTCAAATGTAAATAGTAGTAAAAATCATAATTATGTGAAACTAAACAATTACTCATAAAAACTATGATAAAACAAGTAATTTCTAATATAAATAACAAATCAATCCCAATTCACTACTTTTTATTTTGAACATTGTACAGAGAAAAGCAAAACAGATGAGTTAATCATATAAACAAAATGTAAAATATAATTCTATTTCATTTTAAGTTAGAATTGTACACACTGGATAAAAATATTTAATGGTGAATGCTAGCTTT